GTCAGTTTGTTGTTCGATTTTCCAATGAATTCACCAAACCTGCGTTTTCGGCAGGTCAAATATGATCAGCATATTTCTCGAGCATCATTCTCCGGTGCTCCGATTGGCCGGTGCTCAACGTTCATTTACCTACAGATCGTGCTCCCCGCTGATCGTGCGGAAAGAGGATGATCGAAGTTACCTACTGATTGTGCTACTGCTCGTTTAACTTTGACAGTATTACCCGCCTAACCTGATGAAGCCCTGATTGCGCAAGCAAAACAAAGTGCTGTTTCCATAAAAATATTAGATTTAAGTTTTCATGGAGATTGATGCTACTGTAAGGTTGATAACTTTGCTTTGGTTTAGGTACTCCAATTTCAATGCAGTGAAGAGTTTAAAAGTATTTATCGAGTTCCTTTGTCTTGTCACAGACTGTTTTTGCTTTCAGTTGTGTGGTTGCCGGTTGGAAAGGTTGATATGTGCCAGCAAGTTAAAAGCAAAGAAGTGTAGCAGCATAACTTTAGAAATAGCCCACTTGTTTGACTTTTATGCTTGTCGGACGTAAAAGGCTTCCCCAATCCTTGCAAAGTTATGTCCGTTGTATCCGTTTAAACGTCGTCAAAAGTCATCCGATAGCCGATAGAACGAGCCTACGCACTGAAATAACTGTGTTATGCGTGTATTTGTGCGTGTCAAGCCCTAGTTTGTCTATAAAAAGAATGGCAGTAAGTGAATAATAGGGCAGCAGCCTGTGGAACAGCTTAGAGCGGTTCTCAGCCCGTTATTTTGTGGAGAGCACGATCAGCAACTTTGCCGATCGGTCGAAAAGCCTCTTCTAAGTTATGAGATGACTGGCCAAAATATACGAGAGCGACCCAAATTGAATGGGTCGATTAATGATAATTAATTGTCGAATAAGAAATTTGAGAATGGCACGGGTCTACAATTAGAGCTTGTTTGGGTGGATGGATATGAAAGGTGGAAGTGAAATAGTTTATTTGGTCTCTGCAGAATCTGATGAGCACTGATCTGGCATTGTAGGGTGATTACTTGTTTGCGTGATCGCTCACTTGCCAAAGTTTGAACATGTGGTACGGTTACAACTCACAAGTTGTCCGTTCCCAGCTAGAAGTTACTATTTTTCAAGGCGATGCCATTTTTTTAATTTGATGCCTCAATATTTCTAAAGGTCTCTGCATTACAAAAAAAAAAATCCCGCTCTGTATATTCAAAAGAGGTAGAAGGGTCCACAACACAATTAACTACCGGATATCATAAGATTCAACAGCCGTTTCTCATATGGACCTGAAACAACTGAGTTTAAATCGTCAAGAGTAACAGCGTTCGTACAGTGCGCCTTCCTACTTACTCCCCTCCCCAGTCTTCCGAAGGATCAGACACTTTATTTCCTAAAAACCTCGCCGCCCGTCTCTAGGGACCATAGCCGTTCTGTTTGCCAAGCGCCGCTAATAGAGGACCGCCCACTCGGTTCAGGCCCTGTGGCCGCACGTTTCCCATTATATCGCGGTCAGGGGTTAACGTGCATTAAATTCACCGGCCTGAGAGAGAGAGAGAGAGAGAGAGAGAGAGAGAGAGAGAGAGAGAGAGAGAGAGAGAGAGAGAGAGAGAGAGAGAGAGAGGGAAAGAGAGAGTTAATGAAAAATAGAGAGATAGAAGAGGAAGAGAGCGAGAGAGAGAGAGAGAGAGAGAGAGAGAGAGAGAGAGAGAGAGAGAGAGAGAGAGAGAGAGAGAGAGAGAGAGAGAGAGAGAGAGACTGAAAGAAAGAAAAAGAGATTGTGAGAAAGAGAGAGGAAGAAATAGCAGAGAGCGAGAGTGAGAAAAAGAGAGGGGATGAGAGAGAAAGATGGAGACTGAGAGAGTGAGAGAGAGAGAGAGAGAGGACACGCGCCCGGCAGCGGGAGCGGCGGCAGAGCGTCGGAGCGGCCCGGCGCCGCCGAGGCCGGCCGTCGTCCATAATTGCTACGTGTCCTCCCCCCGGCGACGTCGACGAGACGGCCGTATTCTTACGGCGTTTCCATTTATCATAATGCGAGAGATACGTGCCACGATCACCAAAGAATGCCCTAATGCTATTGTAATGGGCCGACCGCGAGATGCGTGGCGTGGGGTGTGTTGTCGGGTGGGGAGAGGAAGAGGGAGGGAGGGGCGACCCGTCCGGTGTCCAGTCTCGATTACGGCTCGATTCAGGGTGGTGTTTTGTTGGCGCCGCCTTCCAATGTGTCTTCTGACGGAGATCTGATCCATAAATAAGGGATGATTAGTCCCTCGGGGTTGACCGCTGGGCTGGAACCGCTGGAGGTGGAAGTTTATCAGAGCGACAGAGAAACGGCAATTTTGTTTTGAAATCACAGATGGATAGTTATCAGTCACAGTTTGATATGCCTCTGTCGTTTTATAATCTACACGTATTTACTCCTGCTACACTGATGCGTAACACAATAAAACAACAGTTTTTTAATCAAATATTTAGAATTGCATTACTTTACGAAAGAATGAAATGTTTCGGTACTCAGAAGAAAATCAAGTTATCACATGCAGTTTTGACGTGCTCAAAGGCTTCTCCATTTCCTTTTAAACATATGGAGTCAACGTCTAATAGAATTGGGCATTTTGTTCTTTCATCACAAACAAACAACTATTTTTGTTGAGTTTTAATCATGCAGGGAATAAACGCTGTTTTTCCTTCAAATTTTGTTAGCACTTTTCAGTCGTCTTTTTTTTTTACTATCACATTTTTTGCTGAGTCATATCCAAAATGTACTATACGAGCCTCCGTCACCGCGTCTGCCTTGTAAACGAGTGCACCCTGTCATCATCGAAAATCAATTATGTGCCGATGATTGATCATTTTCCAGCATTGTCAACAGCCTGCAGCGACTCCGGTCCTTTGTCTGAGTGTGGTTCCTGGCGAGTGTGTGGTTCTCACCGGTTTCCGTGGGTTCTCACCAGTCTGTCTGTGGTGTGGTGTTGGGCCGCCGCTCCGCCATTGAGTCACGGCGATCGATAGGGGGCCGGGCGGCGGTGGGCTGGGTACCTAAGGGTAGGGCGGTGGGACCTAGAGGCCAAGCGGCGCGGCGGACGGAGGGTGGGGTATAGGGGTAGGGTGGTGGTGGTGGGACCCGGCGGCGCGGCGGTGGGGTGACGACTGTGGGGTATAGGGCTGGTGGGACCGCCTGGTGGATGGTGGGATCCCAGCCTAAACCGAGCAGTAATGTGGCGGTGGGATGGTAGGGCCAGGAGGTGGGTTGATGCGGTCAGTCCGAAGCATGATATGATATAGATAAAGACATCAGTAATGATTGCTTGGTTCGGAAAATAGATCGACATAGGTGGCTCTCATTTTTGCTGCGACACTTATCTTGCATGGTGAAAGGCACAAAGCACAGCAATATTGAAGTCCAAGCACGGATTGGAAACGTAAACGATTATGACGTTACCTGAATAAATAATCCAGCCGTTCTTCAAAAAATGATCACCACAACTGCAATTAATGTGACTCAGAGCAGTGCCATTAATTATCAATGTGCCTATTATCACGTCAGCAAAGACGTTGCAGCATGATTTATCATTCCACCCTTATACACCAAGCAAAAGCAACATCATCAATATCGGTAGCATCAGGAACACAGCACAACCGGTAAAATTGCCGCCTCACTTAACGTTTTGCCTGCAAGGTAGAATCATTTACAAATAATTAACAACAGTGTATGACAAATCAGATGGGGTTCCTAAAGTCTGATAAATATTGTTTACAAAATGTTTTATTAATCAGCAATAGAATATTCAATTATTATTAGCGTATCGATAAAATCTGGATGAGATAGCTATCCTGCTAAACTTCCATCACAACCCGGAGGCCCAATAGGTCCCTCTCCCCGCCCCCCCCCCCCCTCAATCACCCCCTGCGGCATTATTTATCTTCCTCCCCACGATGATACGGGCCACCCAGGCACAATGCAATTTGTCCGCAATCTGTCGCGCGGCAGCCAATGCTACGCCTGATTACGTCAAGTGGCAATAGCGCGGTTTGTGCTTGTGTGAGCGCTGGTGTGTCTATGGGGGTCCTCAGAGAGGCAGCGCGACCCCCGCGCGTGTGAGGGTACTTAGTGCTCGGGATAGATGACCCCCTGGGGAGCGCTCTCCCAGTCAGAGGGGAGACAGCCGCGCCGCTGCCGGTGTCAGGTGGTCGATTGGAGAGATGATGTTTTCATTAGCGGTCAGACGATGAATGGTAGGGGGATTATCAGTGGGGAGCGATATAAATATGACGAAACTATGAGCACGCAAATATCGTGGCTTATGGGCTATGGCTATGTGATTTCTGAGGCCAAAGAGCATTCAAATAAGCAGCAATTATAGGTGTTTGGCTGATAAAGTATATCAGAACTTTAGTGCATATTTTAAATGGTTTTAAATTTATGCACTTCAGTTTAAGCCGTGGACTGCCACAAGAGATAAAATGTGAGCAGAATTTATAAGCCACCCGATCACCAATCGATTTAACTGGTCTCAGGAATATTTCAGCGTTGTCCCCGTCCGGCGTTCGGTTCCCCGTCAACCCTGCCCCCTAACCATCTGCGGTCACCGGCGCGAAATGACTCCTGATTATGACCGGCGGGGACGGACCCCTGAGCCCCCCTTCCCAGAGGGGTCACCTCGCCCCCTCAGAGATCAATGTGACTAACCCGGCGCACCAGGCACTGATTACGGCGCACCACAGGCTCACAGCCGCGCCGCGCCGCGGATAAAGGGTAATCCGTCCCGGCGACACCCGAGTCTCATTGTGTGCCGCACCCGCAGTCATTGTGACGTCATCTGGGCGTCATTATGACGTCACAGGAGCCATTGTTGGCTCGTTAGTGGATGGCCTGTTAGCGGATCAGCTCGTTGGTCTAATTGGTAACGCTATCGGTCTCAGTGCACCTGCTCCGGGTGGGTACTGCAAGGCTCCATGCTAAGGGGATGTTATCTGATCGTGGTATCTCGCTCTGTTACAGATATAGGCTAGAGTGGAGAGCACCAGCCATGGAGCCGGCACTGCTTCGACATCTGGTGAGTAGCGAGGGTACAGAGCGCCACGTGTGTTGGGGTGTGAGGATGGCCCTCGGCGGTGCCACGTGCACGTGTGAGGCGCGTGAATGAGCGCCTCTGAGTTGCGCGAAGTGCTATGATGTGGTCGACAAGACCCGCTGAAGACGTAGCGAGCGTGCATTCCAACATGCGTAAATATTATGCGGGCTGCTGATTTATCAGGGCTGCTTTGTAAAATGCCATTTTATTCCAAGCCCAGAAAGTAATCGAGAACTCTAGCATACCAGCTGTAATTTCCCAACGAAAGGAAACTGGGACCGTTCCTCCATCGTTCCTTTGCTACTACGCTTCCAAACACTGTTGACAACGCATGTACGCTTTCTCGGTCGTCGCGTCCCAAACACCCGAAACACCTGGTCACACAGTTTTCCGAACCTCTGTCTCGCCATGAAGACATCACTGGAGCATTGGCGCACAGCGCTCGGCGCACATTGACGCGCATCATTTGTCTCACAGCGACATTTGCGGCGCGGCGACAGAGCGCCACCAATCATCGACAGTGCGCCACGTTCGGCGCTGCCAGCGCGGCGTCACGGTCGGCGCGCGCGCGTCACAAACGCCGCCGTCGTGCCGTCGTTTGTCAGCGGACAGTCGGGTGCGGAAAATCGTTAATCACCTCCGAGCGAGCCGTTCGTTCTCGTGTGTAATTTTCGCGTTTAAGGGCGCCGTGGTGCGGCGGTTATGTGCCGCTCACTACGGCATCGGCCTGCGCGACAGAATTGAAACAAATGACAATTATTATCGCGCTACGAGGGGTCGGGTGTGACGTGTCGGGTAATTAACTGCTTACCGTGGGCGGCCGGGTCATGCATGAACCCTCGTTTAGCACAAAATTTGACTTGCCAGCGTATGTGGTAGATTGAAGCGGGCCGCGGGGGCAGCATGGAGACTGCAGCAAAGTGGGGCGTGCGCAACAGAAACGTCAATTGTACGAGGGGGTATCGAAAAGTTCTGATCATCACCATGAATTAGATGTGATAGAAGTTTGATTTTTTTTACATGATGTTCATTACTCCTTTACAAGTCACCACACACGACCGCAAACCTATTGCATCGTTTCTTGAGCTGCCTCAGGCGGTCATTGCAGGACCCTCGCACTGTCCCGTAAATCACTGCTCCACCTCATCAATGACGTCATTTCTGTCCTTAAATCACCGGCCATACTGTGGATTCTTCATCTCCCGTAACAATTAAGAGTCAGTTAATACCTGGTCAGGTGAATTTCTTAGATGCGGTAGGATTTAATGTCCACATCATGTAGTTTCTTCAATCGCAGCTCAGGACGAATGGGCGGGGGCACTGTCAGTGCGGATAAAACGTCTTTCTTGGTCTTTTTGGCGGCGATTCTGCTTGAGGCAATCTCGCAACTTCTTCAAAAGTGTGCAGTAGTGCTTGCTTATTATTATCCGACCATCATCAAGACAGTCGGTAATGACTATCCTACGCCAGATCCACAACACTGATAGCATTGACCTTCCATATCGGCTTCTGCATCTTCGCCTTTTAAGAAGGACAGATGTGCCGTGCTTAAACTTCTTGATCATCTTTTTGTCTCTGGATCATGCACATAGACCCAGCATTCGTCACAAGTCATCAAATGATCGAAGATGTCTTCAATTTCCTAAAAAAGACCTGGTTTTCATTTCGAAAGGCCAAGACGCATTTTTCTCTTGAACAAAGAAGACACATGAACTTCTAAGCGGGCTGACTCCTTTATCGTCTATAGTTCTTCGCTAATAATATTTTCAGGCGCTGCCAGCATTGAGACCTTTCTGTTGCACAATAATCTGAAAGTCCACACGACGATCTGTAAGGATGAGGTCCTCCACTTCCTTCACAGTCACCACCTTGTCAGTCACTGGTAGTCACTCACTTCTTGACTCCCCTGCAAGGGCCATGCAACCAAGTTGAAAATTATTTCTTCATTTTCGGTAAGTGCATGAGATGGGCTTTCCTCGCCATAAACTAATTTCACGTTCTTGCTGTATTTTCTTAGTGTGATACCGTTTCAAATGCATTAGTTGGATGACGGTTCGGTCCTCAATGGGCCCAATACTCGTCTTTTTTACTTCTAAGTCTCTCCTATATAAGATAAAACCACTTCTCAGGATTCTCTTTGCGGGAGCCTTGTTCTTAAGAACCAAATATACTACCAACCAAAAATCATCAAAATCGGTCTATATCTTCTATGTGATGATCAGAACTTTTCGATACCCCCTCGTAGTCTGGGGTTTCCCAGAATTTATCGGGCCTGCTCGCCAGCTTTTTTCCTTCTTGGTAAGCTCAACATTGCATTTATGCTAGCTTCAGCTGAGTTTCATATGTTCATTTTTATATGAACTCTGACTCGCCTGATTTGCCTGAATGCCTACCCGCTTCCCCGCCGGCCAATTTAGTGAGTCGGCCGTTCCTGTGCCCGGGCCGCCGCTCGGGTCAATCTGCCCGGCTGCGGCCGGGCCCACCATTCCACCGTTGCCGGGGCCATCTTGCGTGGCGGCCGCGGCCCGGGGCGGATTGACTTCAATACGTTCCCGGAGCAATAATTGCCCGTAATTCGTCGGCCGCGCCGGACCATTAGGTGGGCAATTTTCCGCCGGTCGCGGACCGAAACTCAGCCGTCCGAACCGGCCGGCGGCGCAGCTGATTGGCTGCAATCATCGTGACGTCATTGAGTGACGTCTCAACAGCCGGAGCAAGCCGTCAATGCGCTCGTAGGATAAGCTCCTGTTGTCCAAAGCAGCGTTCGGTCATGATGCTCGCGATAATCGCGGCCGCGAAGAGGCGAGATTGAGACTGAGCCTCTGCATCCCGCTGGTGTGACGCCGGAGTCGAGAGGTCGGTGGGTTTTTAGGACCCCCATCATCATCATCCACATGCGAAGTAGATCAGTTAACTGCACGCGAATCGCTCATGATGTACCCAAGGATGCATAGAATGCACTCAAGCGACCACCGTCAGATGGACTCTCCTCCGGCGGTCCGACTTTGGCTTATACTCGCCATCATTTTCATGACCTATCACGCATGGAAATCATTCATTAATGTCGTTGATTGGCGAGCAGTTGCTCGTGAGGTCTGAGCCGGGAACTGGCAGCGCTAGGTCGCTGGGCGCCGGTTTCCGGGCCCGGGACGGACTCCCACAATTCAGCTGAACAGTCGAACGGTGCTGTGTCCGGTAGCTTGTTGTGATCGCCATCAGTGGGTTTCGCAGGGCGCTCGTTGTGGTAGAGAGTTCGACCGCTAGCTTGAACCGCGTATTTACCCAGGGTGATTATATGGAAAGGTCGAGTTCAACTATATCAATGGAAATAGGCTGTTGTCATGCAGAGCTGGAAATTGGACAGCAATTCGCTCTAATAAGGGCATAATATGCATATTTAACGCAACGATAAACAAACAAATAAATTGAATCATAAATCAAACTCGCAATATTTTAAACGCCATCTTCGTGAACTTGTTTTCATGCGATTTATGTAGCTCCTCTATTACTAGTCAAAAGGCGTAATAATGGCACAGCTGTGCGCTTCGTTTGTCTTTTATATAATACAGTTATTGAAACTTTTTATCAAACGTTTGCTTGCTTGTATAATGCAGTTATCGAAACTTTTTATCAAACGTTTCCAGGCCTGTACCTGTACTTGCCGGTCTGTACTTGAACCAATGGTGACTGCTTGGCCCCCTCGATATGGTCTAGTCGTAACAATAACCGTAACCATAAGTTATGCTCGTAAACATAACAGATGATGGCTGTGGGGCCATCAAAAACCATTTGATGGCCTCCCAATACATTCTTCTTTCTATTTAATAGTATCGTGGCCCAGGGCTGTGAACGTTTTGCCAATGAGACGAGATCATGTTTCTCAAATAAAATGTGGTATAATGCGGCAGTGGCGGATCCAGGATTTTCACTGGGGAGGGGCTGCAGGTCATAATTGGGCGCCACGCCCCGGATGGGCGCCATAGTCGCATCGTATTGGCGCTGAAATATTGGCGCCCAGTGGCCCTGACAAGAGGCGCCCAGGATCAGTATGTACAGTGACACCACACGATTGGAAATATCGGTGCGGAGCGTACTGAAACGACGTTATTCGACTGATTTTTGCATCCTAGTCCTAGTATGCGGCACTCCGATGAGTTGCGAATTGAAAATTGGCGCCACTGCGCCTTCGGCGCAGTGGCGCCAGTTTTCCTTAGGTGGGGGCTGCCAGCCCCCGCAGCCCCCCCTGGATCCGCCACTGTAATGCGGTTAAAAGGATTTTGGTTGAAGCGTAGAGGCATGCCAACACTGTTGATGCTCAAGCTGTTCAACAACCGCGGTGTCTTAGCGACAAGTTACGCGTAACCACTCCATTATTTGGAGCTGAATACATGGGGCAGGAAATAAAATTATTTCATTTTATTTAATTCATCTAGTTAGTCGCTGTTGCATAAAAGGATCAGTTCGCTGATGAAGTTGGGCTCAGGACCTTTCGACCACAGGGTCATTTGCGTTCAAAGAAGACAACGTTTGGTTCCAAAGGAAATAAGGAGTGTTTATTTTGTATTTGGTACAGTAAACTAGCCACTACGAGATAAATAGATAAATAAATAAACTTAGATGATACTTTTGCTTTTTTTTTGCTTTGATTAGGTTTGTCGTTCTGTATCTACCTTGAACCACTTCTATGTAAACACCACTAGCGCCACCGTCGCGCCATCACCGCCGCCACCGTCGCTGCGCCGTCACAAAGGGCGCATTAGTTTGATTGCTCGCCGGCGTCCGATCGTCTGACGAGACTTTGATAATGGAGCGGTCTGACAACGAGCCCAGACCGGCATTGTATCCACCGCCGCCGCCGCCGCAGCCATTCCACACAATGACTGGACGCCTTTGGTTTTTGCGCGGCGACGCTTCGGCGACGCGATGACGCTTTGGTGGTGGTTAGGATGTCGATGACGGTGACGGCAATGACGGCGATGGTG